AGCTCTTGCACAGCCTGAGCAAATGTCTTAACGTGTCATTTAAAGTACCCCCATTTCAAATTATGTGTAATTGCTTCAGTGCCATATCTAGCTTCAATTATATTTCTTAACTTATTTTGTAAACACCTTGCTGATACTGAAAACAGCTAATGTGTTTCACTTATTAACTGCACTAACCACAAATACTGTCATTAAAATCACCAGGTAGTAATTTTGAAGATGATTAGACTTGTTATAACCTTCAGACTCGCTGGAAACCATTTAACCAAGCTGAGAATCTCATTCTTATTCTGGTCACCAACCAGATTTATTCTCTGTCTGCATCTCACCCCAAATCTTTAGAAAAAGATATTTAGGAGATGTGTTGTTAAAAAACTGATGAGAAAAACTTGGAGGCTGATATTCAATAAAGAGGCTCTGTCTAAAAAGCTGCACATCATTTCTTTTTGGGTCAGGGAAAGGAACATCAAAAGCTGTGCTTATTAACAGAGAGAATGATTCATTCTGATAAAATTTGATCTAAAACTTCCATGTATTATTCTTATTATAGCTTTATAATAAACAAAAAAACAATATCCAAAACCGCCTAATGTGATTAGACATTTTCTCGCTTCTCTAATTTCCCTGTTCTTCACTTTGCAGTTGTTTTTTTTTACCTAAGACTGCCTCTGAAGTTTTAATAAACAATCTAGAGCTCACCTGGATCTAGCCTCCCTTTTACAAAAAGGAAACTTTTCTGCTGTCAAATCAAGTTTCCTCATTGTTAGAAACAGCTACCTAACCCCAGATTCCTTCTTTGAGAGATAACAATGAAACAGAGCTTTCAAAGTCAAAATAAAATTATATGTATTCATTTTACCAAGTAATAAGCAAGTAAAGTGTCATGATTTATTCAAAGCCATATGCAGACCCATATGCAGAAAATAAATCAGAGGGACCAGGGGAAGGTTTAACAGGTTTATTGAAATCAGGTAGAGATGGATCCAGTGCTGCTCTGAACACTGGTGGTTTCTGTGTCAGTTCAAGCTCAGTGGGAAATTTGAGCATCCATTTGCAAAGAGGAGAGAAAGGCAACTGGACTCACGTTTCCAGAAAAGGTGTCTTTCTCTGAATCCAGTCGGTGTGGGTTGTTCCAGTAATTGACTTGCTCGTTGGAGGGTGGACAGGGTTTACCCAGATTAAGGTGTTTCCTTGAGGAACGGAGGAGCTGACTGGCACTTGAACGGTTTCTTGTGGAGATGAATCCCCTGCTCAGTGTGAAACTCAAACAATCCTTTGGGGAGAAGTAGATCAAAACCTCCAGTTTGAATCCCCAGCTCAGTTTGAAGCTCAGAGTTTGAAGCTCCTTCCAGGGGGAGAAGGTCCAAAAGATCCAGGTGCAGGATGACTTCCTGCCGAGAGGCAAAGACAAAAACAACTAGGTTAAGACTGAGGTTGACAAAAACTCAGTTTGACTCAGCAAAACTCAGCTTGGCTAGAGTTCCCAAAACTGGTAAACACTCTGGCATCGGGGTAGTGGCAGTCAGCAGCTTAAGAGTCCTCAGGTAATGAGGCAACCATCCGAAGATGTGTGAAAGGGCCAACGAGAACCAGGCGCCACCTAACATAAAGTACAGTCGGTTTATATTTACCCAGCATTATTTTAAAAAAAATCTGCCTTTAAAAACAGCAACCAACTTCCAAAAATGTTTTTATATTGTTGTTAAAGGGTGTTTAAGAGGACAGCAGTATGGCAAGCACTTAGAGTGGAGAAAATAAAAAAAGGAAATTATTTTAAAAACAGAAAGGCATATTTAGATCAAATGACCACCAACTCAGTATCTAAATGTTTTGGAAGACGCTGTTTTTTAAATCTTGATCCATTTTCCCACAGGATAATAGGTCGCTACAGTGGAAAGTGCTTTGTGAAGCTGCTACTGTAACTATTAGAGCAGTAACTGCTCAAATATACTTCTGCTGCTACGCTGAGTACCCCAAGGGTTATTCTATTTATCCGCCATGTACTTGACAATAATTACTTCCCATTTAAGACCCTAGACATAGAGGCACATTGTAGTAGCTCTCTTCCATGATTCATTCAGCCACCTAAATGCAGGCATCAGTTGTTGGGAATATGATGTTTAGTGGAAAACATGGCGACAAACTAAGCAGCCGGTTTATGCAAAGCTAATAGTGTGAAATTACCTAACAAGAAACAAGCAGTAAGACAAAGGTGTAAGAAGCATTATTTCATCTGTTTGAAATTTTACCATAATAAAAAAAAGATATTTTTAAATAGTCTGTTCTTTGAAAAGCCTTAAAGTTAAAGTTCTCCCTGAGGAGGTATTACCTCGACCTCATCATTACAAATGTTTTTAATCCCCAAACTGAATCACCTTGACTGCTTTCTTAATAATAGATCAATCAGCTACTTTAAAGGATTTGAAGATTTTTTTTCCTTTTTTTTTTCAGGCCATTTGACCTTTGAAAGATTTTTTTTGAAGCCTTTGACCACATTAATTAGTTCATAAGGGTGGTCAATACAGCAACTTTAAAAAGTCTTGTTAAGGTATTGCATACTTTGCAAAAAACAAGGAAGTTAATTATACTAGAATTTTGATCGTTTATTTTAACATTTTTGTGTGTAAGATCCATAGTTGCCCTTTTCAGAAAAGTCTTCAAGGTGGGATTAAAGTGCCTCTTTGTCCTCTCTATGTGATTTGTGAAAGAACCGATGCAGAGAGGAGGGTTGAAGTCTGCCCATCC